ACAACTCCTGCTACTACTCCCGCCACAACTCCTGCTACAACTCCTGCTACAACTCCCGCCACAACTCCTGCTACAACAACAGAAATGAAGAGTACTACAGAAGCTTTTGTCCCTATTCCTGCAGGTTTGTGGCTCTTGTATTTAGTAGAGTGCTCACGGAGCTAGAAACTGTTTTGTAACTTGTAAACAAAAGAACCTTAGAACCGTAAAGGCGTCTGAATTTCTTTGCGATTGTATTGATTTWTGTCCTGGTGAATTCTTACTTAGTYGATTGCTGAATAGTTGCTGTTGCTAAATTGTTAAGAGTTCTCTTACATTGTTTCATTATTTTCTATTCTTCTTTTAAAGACCCTGGAGCATTAGATGTAGCAATGGCTATAGATTCGTCGGAAGATATCAGCAACGAAGAGTGGGGGGATATTGTTCAGTTTGCTAAAAACTTTGTTGACCAGTTCGATGTTAACCCCTCGTCTACTGGTGCGCGGTTTGGTGTAGTCACTTACTCGAAAGACCCAAAAGTATACTTCAACTTTAGAAAATTGGCAGGATCTCAGCTAAATCCTACTGTAGTAAAGAAACTTATTGAGGGTATGCCACGCCAAAAGGGAACTGAACGGCGCATTGATCGTGCTCTGGAACTCGTAGATTCACGTTTGTTTGAACCTGAAGCTGGAGCTAGAAATGGAGCYAAACCGGTGAGTGAAATGTYTAGATGTGTGTTTAGTATACAACTTCTCCCCGATTATTTGGGAGGGGTGAAAAACGGATGTAGCAGGCTATATTATTTGAAAAGAAGAAGTAGTCGGGTTACATCAAAGCCACAGGCCTAAAGGGAGCAGTGGAAAGCAAACATTGCGAGTAAAACAGTGTTTCAGAGTCAAAAGATTGATCGTACTGAAAATAACCCAAAATCCAGGAAAAATAACCCTTCGCTTGCTTACACAATCTTCGAGTTAAAAACGAGTTTCTCTAACAGTAAAATGTAACATGTCTACTAGATAAAATTAGTTTGAATTTCCGAAAGAACTCAATTGTACAAAAAAGGGATTGACAATTATTCTACATCGTTTACTTTTTTGTTATAGTACCTACTAGTGCTTGCAGCGGGTCCTCAGGATACAAAGAAACCATTTACTCCACCAAGTCAGGTGTCACGTAAACTACAGAAGGAAGGCGTTAAGGTGTTCTCAGTAGGTGTTGGCAACAGAGCTCCCTCTAAGGAAGTCATCGATATTTCCTCTGGGGCAGACTATGCTTTGAAGCTGGACTATCCTCAGCTTCGGACTGCTGCAGCAAATCTTGCACCAGCAATTAAGGAAGGTATGTTTTCTTTTCCCATGATAATGCATAGTAAACCGCGGAAAGTAATTCGCCAGGCCATAAAAATCTGGTCGTTATAACGGAGCGGCCGTATTAAGCGAGTAGTTCCACTGAATATATAACCATGGCTCAGTTCTCATAATTGTATTGTATGTTTAATAGAACATGGCTTCTATCGCGATATTGTTTTCCTCGCTGACGCATCAGACGATGTAGACTGGCCTCAGGTGCAGAGTTTCTCAAAATCAATCGTCGATTCATTT